TTCGTCATTATTATCCCAGTGAACATCTATTGTTTGAGTGAAATCTAAGCATGGATGCGTGCACGAGTGAACGCAATAGAGTGCGATACAGCTTGTATCCCAACTTCTCTCTCTGTATGTTTTCCTTTGTGTATACATGCATATCTTTCCACACTGCATCTGGGACGGAAAAGAAGAGCCCGTGCACCGTTTCAGTTTTTACACCCATTAACCATACACTTTCGTGCGCCGGTTTTGATTGCTGTTTTTTGGTTACCCGCTTGGATAAAAGGACAGGATGGAGATTAGAATGTTGAAAGCAAATTCAAACGGAAGATGGAGAATTCATATAGAATGGTGTTAGGAGAATAACGAGTGGATGCACGAGCGTCACTGCTGGTGACACCCAGCCATATCACTGTCTCTAACAATCGGTGACCATCATCCCGAGGTCCCCAGCCAGGGAGCCTAACGGGGCCTATGTGATNTAGTCTCCTGGTTAGGGTTTTCATACCCTCATGCCAGGTCTTCGTTTGACCACCCTTGACCTTTTACCAACCCCTCACTACCTCGGAAAACATCCCTCGCCGTGACAACCTATTTAATGACATGCGTAAGACACCCCAACCAACGTAATCTATGGAGGTCGATCACGCGCACCGTTAGGATTGCCCAAAAGATTCAGACTCGATTGCAATCGTTTGTATTTTTATGTATCAGAGAGATAGCAGGCGGAACTAGCCGATCGGGATCGTCGAGATCCATTCATCCATGACGGAAGAAATGTAAAAGAGAAGTCTGTAGAGGACATATTTCGAATAATTATGTAACCTATGTAACTTGGTTCAAAGGTGTAATTCATGGATGAAGCCAGCAAATTCCTAATGGTAACGGCAAATCCAAGCCAGGTGTGCTGTTTGTTATAAACGAGAGAAAATAAATCTCTCTCTGCTACGCCCATACAAGGCCATTCGCTTGCAAGTAGCAAACGATCGAGAATCCGAACCACCTGCATAGCTTATTTCAAATGTTTACAATACGTCACTGTGCATTTTGACACCCATAGATTCGTGTTTACCTATTTCTCCTTCTCACCGATCGATCGATCGATCGGAACTAAGAAAAATTAGGTTATTCCAATATTAAAACCACATGAAACTCGTTGGCATTTGTGCTATATGACCCCCACTCGACTTGAGTGTGTGCGGTGAAACGGGAAATCATTGAGTCATCTCTTTTTTTAATGCCTTTCCGGTCACTCACTTGTCGTGTCTTCACTTCCACTACCCGTATTCACGCTTGAAAAATGGTGCACGACATTTTTCTACGATGAGATTCGGACCACTCGATGCGTGTGTGCGTGTGCGCGCACATTTTTCCATTTGAACGACTCCGACGACCTCCCCTATGACGCGAAGTTGTGCGAACGTCTGACCACCTGGTGACTGACTGGGAAGGCTTAACGATGTTCTCAGTGTAATAGAGGGCTGGGGATATTGAGTGATATGGCTGAGTCTCGTAAACAGTGGCGCTCGTGCATCTACTCCGTATTTGGATTCTGTATCTTCACCTGGATACCGCTTCCAGCATTCTAATTCCGCGCTCGACACCAACATCTAAATCGGTTTCCGAAAGAAGACCCGGTAGTTTACTACCGGATGAAAGTGTGGGAATAATGATTGAAGGAACTGACCTGAACCTGATGCAATTTTCCAGAGATTGTGTACTTTGCGGCACGAGAAACTAACCGGGACAATAGGGACGGTAATCTGATCCGTTTCGGACACAGTGAAGAGGCTAGTGTGATGGAGTATGTGATTTCCTGGACGCGTGTGGAACGGAACGCTTCACATGGATAATTCACGGGCATTGCATATGATGGCTGAGATAACACAAAACCGGTCAGGCGAAACAGGACAGCGAGGGGGGGNCGGGGCGAGCATGTTTGTGCAAGTTCGGATCATGTATATTTCAACAAATTCTACCAGAGCGAGACGAGAAACAAAAACAGCCCAGGCGGTAAAATAAACCAGCTTTATCGCAGAATCAATTTTTCAGCAAATTATGTGATTTAAACCTTTTGAATACGTTACAGGGTTGCACATTAATTTTAGACTGAATCCGCTAGATGAATTGCCCTGTTTTCAGTAGAAATAATAAATCGTTCAGACAGTGTACGCAATGCTCGTCCTCTGTTTAGCGGATGCGAAAAAAATTCGTGTTATCCTCACCGGGACACTGAGGAGATCAGTTATAATAAAATAGGCTGTTTGCTATGAGGTGGGAGTGGTGTTGTCACCTGTACGGCATTATCATAAGAGGTGAACTTGATCGTGGATACTTTCTTTTCAGTTGGATTGAAAGATTACTTTGGGAAAGGCAGGTTTTATTCTCGCGTGCGACAGTGATCTGGTGGCGTAGGTCAACATCCTATTGGCCGCTAGGTCAAATCCCAAATTCCACCATCTCAATTGTTTTACTGATGGACTGTCCTCTTCCGGTTTGATGATACTTGACCGGGTAGCGAAAAGGTGTGCATTGTCAAAGATAATATCACAATTCACAAAATACGGGTATCTAACAGTTCCTCGACAGCACAGAAACAGTGTTGTTGTAAGGATACTGTGTTTCAACGAAGTGCATGACCGCGATCCCATTGTCGATCATCACCAAGTTCTAATGAAAGATACCTCCATAAAACAGTTCGGTCGGATGTTCCACTAGGCTATAATACTCCAGATCTGGACCATATAGTCAGTTAGCAGTGTGCGAACAGCTACCAGTGAATGTGGTTTGTGGATGAGACCGAATTCCGGTGCAGATCTTTCATATTTGATTGGCAAGCTGTGAAAGGTATTCACTGCTATCTGTCTTCCATCCGAACTCCGATCCCCATAAGTATAATTTTTTACAATAGTCACCGAAAGTGGATTTATTATTACCGTGTGAACTCCGAGCGGCCGAGTACGACATAAATTGTTTTTGTTGTTGAACAGATGAAAACTCGAAAAGTCCCCCCGGGGGGGGGGGGTACAGGATTCACCCAAAAACTCTACGATATCCGCTATTCTACTTTGTAAAGAGAAGGATTATATTCCCCAATAATTGAGGCGTGTCTACTCTGCTTCTCATTCCCAATCGAAGAGATAGAGCGGTTTGCGGGAACTACGTGGGGATCAGTCTGATTGATGTTGCAGTAAAGAATCTGCGTGCGTTCTGATACTCAACTGTTTTGTAGCTGGGAGGTATTGTCATCCTTCATTGAAAAAAGGTATTGTCTCCGTGGTCCAGAAGGATATATACAGATCACACCGACCAGAAAGAACGTTACCGGATACGCATATCTGATGAGCGGCAAGGACCGTCAAACCGGTCCTGTGCTGTTGGAAATTCTTTTTCAGTCATTCATATACTACTCATTTATAAGAACACAGCTTTGTGATCAAACTGTTTATGGACATGGTTAGTGACTTACAACCCGCTACTAATTTATCTGAAGCCTTTTAATGTAGATGAGAGAAAATTATATGGGAATAGAATAGAGAACAAATAGTTGCTCAAATGTCTCAACTCAGGCAACCCGTACACTTTATCTGAGCACAATCTTGTTTTGTTTTCTATCCTCCTGCTCCATCTTCCGACCTGGTTCTCATACCTGACGGTTGTCATCTTCGACTGGGTCTATCGAGAATCTCGCATTCAGGGTCACGAATGCAAAGCACTTTATCTCTTATGCGTTTCAGTTTTTCACATAACCGTATGCCGTTCAAATTGACCTTATGCTTATGAGCTAATGTCACGTGACAAACCACGGACAGACAGATCACAAGAGCATGTAAACCTAGGGTAGAGCATTTGACTATCG